AAAACCTAAATGAAACCAGCTGAGCCAAAGCTGCAGGTTTTCCCAGCTCCAACCCTGTATTACCCGCAAATGTCCCTGTAATGATGTTTCCTTTTATGCTATAAATGAGAAAGGCCTTACACAGTTCTCTCATTTAAAGTACATTCAAATCCAGGATACACAGCACATAAACAATTGCAAGATAGAGCCTTGAGGGTCATATGTTCAAAAAAAGATTACTGCATTTTATGTATTGAAGCAGTACATAGGCCCCTGGCTAGGTGCTATAGTGCATTTGTGATACATTTTTCACAAACTCCCCAGGTGGCACTTAAGACTATAAGAGTGTATGGAGTGTTGTCATAAGTAGTAATAGGAATAAGTGGCCAGTGATTGTGAGGCGAGGGCATGATCATTAGGCCTGTACAAAGCAGCAAGTATTTGCTTCTGGTTTGGCTGATTCAGAGGGACTTGGTGATTCAAATCACTGTCCCAATTCGATTCGGCCTGTTTGGATTCATAGATTTGGCGCTGATTTGTAGATTTGGCCGTAGACTATACAGGCAGTCCTTGACGACGCTGGACACAGCTGCCTCTAGCTGGTAAATCTGTTGTGGTGGGTGGAGAAGAAGGGAAGGGGCGTGGTGGGGGGGCAGATTAATGCCACCACAGCCAGGCAGGGATTGGGGCTAGAGCTGGGACAAGCTGCCCAGCCGGCGGGACATGAGACTTGGGGAGGGCGGCTCCCGCCATTGCATACCACTGGTCAGGGAGCTGCTCTTTTGGTGGCTCCTCCAGCGGCTATCACTGCCAGTTCGGGAGGGCATGGGAGTGGGCGTGTGCCCCTGGATCTGCGTGGGCCAGGCTGTGCTCTGGGACGCTAGCTCCAGCTACCCGCCACGGACCTGTGCTCTGTGGGGTGGGTGGAGCCAGGGGTGCCCTCCGGGGGGCAAGTCCCTGCTGCCAGGCTGCGCTCTGTGGGGTGGGCAGAGCCAGGGGCTGTGCTCCAGGCTGTGGCTGGGGCTAGCCTCCTGGAGCACAGCCCTGGCTCTGCCTGCCCCGCAGAGCATGGCCTGGGAACAGGGGCTTGCCCCCTGGAGCGCACCCCTGGCTCCACCTGCCCCGCAGAGCGCAGCCTGGTGGTGGGTGGCTGGGGATAGCCTCCCGGAGCCCAGCCTGGCCCAGCCCGCCCCTTGCAGATCCTGGGGCACACACCTGGTCCCATGCCCTCCCGGACCAGCAGCAAGAAGCTCTGGAAGAGCCACCAGAAGAGCAGCTCCTGAACCAGCAGCATGTGGTGGCGCACAGTGGTGGGAGCCCCCCTCCCCGAGTCCTGTGCCCCACCTGGCTGGGCAGCATGTCCCAGCCCCAATCCCTCCCTCACTGTGGGGGCATTGATCTGCGCCTCCCCATGCCCCTTCCCTCTGCCCACCACAACAGACTTACCTGCTGGAGGCAGCTGTGTCCAGTGTTGTAAAGTCAAAACCCCCATTGGAACCTGGCAAGACTTCCCAATCTCCGAATCTCTTTGAATTGATTCAGAGGCTTTGGACCTTTTAATGTGTTTCCTGATTTGATTTGGATTCAGAGATTTGGCCACCAAATTGGGCTGAATCTCCTTCAAATCAAATCCACTACCGAAGCTTCACGCAGCCCTAATGATCATCTCTTTAAGTGTGCAACTGCATTTTCAACATATATAAGGGTGCAGCTCAACTTACCTGAGTAGCATGCACCTGATGCTCCCCAAAATGTCCTGGAATTGCATGTGTAGACTGGTATTTGTGTGCAAATCAGGTAGTTGTACGTGCAGTAAGCTGAGGAAACAGGGGCTTATATGCACAAGTATGGGGTTTTGTAGGTACCATGAGTAGGCAAACCACTCTGGATGCCCTGGTTTCACCCTGCTTTGAAAAGGCAGCATTGCATTTGCATGAGGAGCTAATGAATGTACTTAGAGGCACCTCCCCCAGAGATTATTCGTTCTCATTTGTTATGAAAGAAATTTCTCTTGGGTAAAATCCAGCACCTGATTCTCAAAGCATTGACATCTTTTTTTCTACATGTTGAATTTCCAAAAAAAAATGTCTTTAAAAGGAAAAAAACCCCACCACAGTGACAAACAGAGAAAACCAAAAAGCAATGAAGCATAAACAGGATATGACTGTGTTAGATAATTTGGATGGTTAGATCCTGCTTTTAGATTACATCTGAGGAACTCCTTTTTGTCCAGTGGTGCTGAACAGATATCCCTGGAAGCAGAATTCTGTTACTCCATCTGAACACTTCCCCTAGCCCCGATAGCTGATCTAGAGCCACTCTGTACTATTCAGCCTTTGCACCACGGTAGAATAGTGCAGAGCTGCATTGCCTCCGGGTGAGCTACGAATCTTCCCTGAAAACCTTATTGCACTGGGAGAGCGCTCCATCCTTGAGATACATTTTGTTCTCTGTACAGCTCTCAGGCCAGGGCTTGCCCTCGTCTCTGTGCTTCTTGTGGTGGCTTGCATTACCAATGAGAGCTGTTTGTGGAGAAGAGGGAGTGCTTTGTGCCTGGTCCAGGCGTTGAGAATGAAAGATGTCTCTTTTTACTCTTCCCCTCTCCCTGTTCACACTCTCAAGTACGAGATACAATCTGGCCATAGATAATCAGATGACAGACAATTTATTCTGTGATAGAGACTTAAGAATCCAAAACAAACAGCTTATGTCTCATTCTTTCTTTTCACATACCTCCTACCTCATTTTTTAAAGAAAACAAAGATTTTTTACCCTTGCTACACAGTGTATGAGCAACCTATGAACCCTATGATTATTTTGTCTTGGTATCATCACTGAAAGATAAGTTCTCTTTATTTTCAATTTTGGCCCCTATTCTTTTGGATGAAGGGGACAAACACTGGTTGAACTCTTATCAGTACAAATGGGGTCATGGATTAGAGGAGATATATATTAGTGAGCAAAGGGATATTGGTCAGTGTGTTGCTGTGAGCCTTTCTCCTGATTTTTAAATAAAGCCTGTCATTTTGCAGGTGCTGTTTTGTGCTCAGTTAGGTTTGTGATGCTGCACACACAAATACATTATTTGAAATTGCATTAGCTGCTTTCAGTTTCCCTGCTAAGAACATTTGATTATTGTGCTCTTTCACCTTCCTGGGTGCTCTAAATGCACTCGCTGAAGACGTAACCATCAACCTCTTGAGGAATTGTATTGGCACAACCATGATCTATCAATAAAATGCCATTTTATTACATCAATAAAATGTACCTTAGAGGCTGCAGGAGGAGTGGCCAAATGACAGCTTATGAGTTACAGTGGTTCCCAAGTGGTTTAAATGAAGTCCTTGGAGAAAGTCATGTGATGACCAGTTATTATTTATGCTGGGCACAGTGTGCAGAATCTGTCCTGCTCTCATCTTAAAAGGTTTACATTCTGCAGCTTGTCAAGATTTTGGTTTGTGCCTAGAAGGGTTAGAAAGTTTGGCCACCCCTGGATTATAGCATGGGAACTTAGGTTATTGGTGACACAAGTTAATTTAATTTAACAATTGTCATCATAATTTCCATTGACACCTTGTTGTTCATGACTACTATCAATCATTGTATGGGAGATAGGAGTGTGCTGCTATAGGGAACTGCAGATACAATAACGATGATGCCTAGCCAGAAACAAAAACAATTAAAAAAACCTGTTTAAATATAAATGAGTTGTAAACAAAACAGATGGCTGAGATGCCATGAGACCATTCCAGACTAAAAAGAGACATTTGGCTGTGGTTGTCTCTAGTCTATAAAAAACTCAACCCTACAAATAGTGACTGCTGGGTATAGTGCTGTATACCATGAGTAGTCTCTGTTTGACTTCATCTTCAGTGATATTAATGGATGTCATCACTGTGGGCCACATTGTCAAATTGTGTGCGTGCAGTGTTAGAGAACTTGCACACACAAATTCAGTAAAGATGTTTTCCTTAGGCAAAGTTGAGAACTGGAGCAAGTAGGTAAGAGTGCTTAAAACATACATGGGGATGTGTGCATGCACAGACGGGAGCCAGCCTGAGACCCCTTTCAAAATCTGCCCTTTTGTCTGTAAAATGAAGCAAAGGAGGCATGATAATTTAGCTTTTCTATTTCCAGTCTGCCTCTGCCTGGGCCCAGGTATGGAGCCCAGTAGGGTTCTCTGATTTGGTAAAAGTGAACAGAAATGTAAGAGGTTTTTCTAGGTGTAAAATTTCAGTCAACACAGCCATAGCCTTATTGACATGCAGAGAATGCCTTTCATGTGATACAAACATTTACTTGCTACTGCTTACTCTACTCACTTTGTACAGAAATGCTGATTGCTGTTGATTAATCAGTCCATTTTTGTATATTCTCATCAGACTCTTTCTTTGGCTGGAACAATATGCACTGTATGATGCTTGCATGTCTAATAATTTGTTGTTAGCACTTTGTATCTGCCTTTGTTTCTTCACAACTAACAGTTTGCATGCACTTTGTGTAAATTAATATATTATCTGTAAAGAGTGATAGATTTATCTGATGCACTGATATTTTAGCATCTTACTGTATAAAACCTGTAAAAAAAATTCACTGTTTATGCCGTGCATTCACCCATGGATAGAAGATGTTATTGAGCTTTAATATTAATATTGTTTATATTTAGAGGTCATAATGTCATTTCAGTATTATATTCTCTGCTTATTCCATAAGTAATTTGGTTTGTTAATTTTATAATGATGATATAATCCTTTTAATGCGGATTATTTTTATAAGAAGATATAATAATGCAAGTTAAGAAGGAATGTTAAGTTTTCCTTCCAGTTTAATGGGAATTGTAAAGATTTGAGTGATAGAGCATCATTTCGTAAATAGATACATATTGAATGGATTTGTTCTCTAATGAGACCATAATCAAATATGCAGTTATTTGGTCTGAATCAAGCTAAAGAGTAATTACAGCTGCTATTAAGCTGGTGCCCAGAAACATTGCATTTATGTTGGTTGTTTCAACATCTCAGGACTCTGTCTCCTGCAAAGTCTCCATCTTCATCCACTGGATCTATTGCCTCCAGCAGAAAATACCCATACCCGATGCCTCCGCTTCCAGATGAGGAGAAAAAAGCTAACAGGCAAAGTGCCAGGGTACGTGACTCTCTTTTTGTATGCTTAGTCAGAGAGAAGTGATTTGATTTTATCAGTTTTCAAAAGGATAATACAGGGCCTGATTGCCCAAAGCTAAGCAAGACATAGGTGGTTTGTTCAAACAAACAAGAAAAGAACTGACACAGTTCCCAGAGGTGAACTCTGATGGAGAAAGGCCTAATTTCTTGGATGTCCTTGGTGAAGATGGAGGCCAGGACAGACCAGAGTGCTTCGGGAGTCTGGGGAACTCAGCCTACCTGAGAATAATAATGGGAGGCTTTCTCCCTTCTCTGTAATCCTGGAAGCACCTAGAACTCTTACAATAGAGCAGCTCCATAGTGATTCTCTAATTTGTGCTGGTGGATTACGATCCTTCACCCCCTTGAATTGCCCCTGATCATCTCTCCTGTCCTCCATAGCTGGAGGGTAGGCAGGAGCAGTTTGGGCCCAGTCTGGGCCCATGGGGAGCTGCCAGGAACACCCGCAGCTGCCAGGCAGCTCCCTGCCCCATTTTTTCCCCTGGTGAGCTTCTAGGTAGCCTGAGTTAAATGATCTAAAACTAATTTACAAGTCTGAATCCAGATGCATGCAGGTGGTGCTTGCTGCAGATAGCCTGAGAAGCAGGCAGGGAGGGGGAACCCACCTTGGCTGCCTCTGCCACTACTGTTGGCACCACCACTCTTGGGTTGATCAGGGTGACAGGGCAGTAATTCAAGGGACAGGGGAAGGGGCAATTTGGTGGAGCAGAGAGGGTGATCAGAGGGTGGAGGGGGTGACCCAAGTGGTGTGGGGAAACAGCTTCCCCTCCCTGGGCAGGCTCAGAGGAGACTTGTAGCCCCTAACCATGTTCCTACTCAGTAGTCTAACAGCAGGTCTGAGCAGTACACATTAGAGAGGGCCTGCTAACATGCTACTGGGCCTATCTACATGTTCATTAATGTGCCATAGTTATTCCACATTAAGTTTAGTATTTGGTTAACCAAGTACTAGATCAATGTGCAGTAACTCGCACTACTGGGCATTAATTCTGGCGCATGGGTTTTTAGTGACACTTACTGCACAGTAGCCTTATACTACTTAACAGTAGCGTGTTAGCATGGTTTTTGCCTGGCACGCTACTGCACAGTGTTATTAGGCTATTGAGCAGTTAATGTCTTGTGTAGACATGCCCACTGATCAGTACTTCCTGGCACCACCTCATACTTCTTACAGTTAACATGTCATCTGACCCTAAATTCTGTGCTGTGGTTCTTGGAGCTGTAGCACAGAAGTTCTCCGTCAGAGTTGTGGTCAGAGTACTTGATAGGGAGAGGGCTGAAGAAGGGTCATAAGAGAAGTAGGGCCTGAAGGGACCTCCAGAGGTCATCTAGTCTGACCCCTTGCCTAACCTCCTCCCTATCCAAACCATCCTGTACAACCATAATCTAAACTCTACATAAGACTACCCTCAAACCTGACACAACATAGATCTAATTTCCTAACATGCTACAGGTAAAGCAGGGGAACCTTGGCTGTCCAAAGTCCTGCTTCCAGAAAGTGCTGTCAATATATGCTCAAGAGGTCCTGGGTAGAGGTTATGTGACACTTACGTTTCCCAACTCTAGGGTTGCCGTAGCCCAGTGCCCTGATCTAAACTGAAGAAGCTCTGAGCAGAGTTAGGTAAAAAAATGTAGGGATATATTTTTTCTCTAGAATCAGTTATGGTGACTTTATGATGATTTTATGACTTCATGGTGACCTGTATGAATAGTGAGTAAACTGTTTTGGCATAAGCTTTTGATGGTTAAGTAGACTCTTCCATTAAACTCTTACTCTCCCAGTCCTAGTCCTTTATTGCGCAGACCACAGTTCTGCTGAAGTCTTCCAGATGATCTGATGATGTTGTGATATGAGCCGATATCCACTGGAGGCTAGGATAAGACCAAATAGCACACCTTGCGTAATCTAAGCAAAAGAGATGTGATTTCCAAACTATGATCTAAAATTGTTCAGATATTCTATTATAACTTCAGTAATGTATATTTGTGTTATTTTTTCCTGTTCTAGCTATGGGAGACTTCTATTTAGTCCCACTGTTTACCTGGGGTAACATCAGAACTGTTTACTTCCAATTTTATAGAAACTCAGCATCACTGAGTCATTGCACATTCATCTGCTCTTCAGACAATTTGAAAGAACAACAGAGATGCCAGTGACCACAGACAGAACCTCCTCTGGTATACCAGGGTTAATAAAGCCAGTCTTTTTGCTGTTGAACAGAATTTCATGAAGTCTGTATAAAGAACAGCTGAAAACATAAAAAAACTAACCTGGGATAAATAGACTGGATGTGACAAGACTATTCCGCATGACAGATACACATAGATTTACAATTAAAACTAATTTACAAGTCCCAAATAAAAGAGGTTTTTTCGTTGGTTTAATGCAGTCCCAAATAATAGCAAAATTGAATTCAGAATTTAGCATTCTGAAACATGTGGCCAATGTTACCATTTATGCTGTGTGCATGAACCCTCTGTTCTTTCCTTTCCACATGTACGGGATAAACAACATACTGTAATAGAAATTAGCATGCAGGAGTAAGAAATATAGGATTTTGCTACAGGATCTTAAGCTTTGAGGGGCAAATATTCGACATAAACTTCAAACAAACAGGAATTGCATCTTTTTTACTTTTCGGGTTTATAATCTCAGTATATGGATTGTATATATGTAAACATTTTAAAGTGTCAAAAAAGATGTTGTACAAAAGTGTATTTTGCCAAATGCCTAAAGAAACAGTCATGAGTAACTTCATCACACTTCAAATGTTCTCAATATTATGAGCAGACAGCTTTGGAAATACAGTACTGAAAATGTGTCTTCTCAGAAACTGGTGTTTGAGCAAAATCTACAGTTTCCCTTTCTGTTATGGGAAGTTATGTCTGGGATATATTAGTTATTAGAATCAAAAAAGAAAAAAATACAATGACATTTTGTCTTAAATCACCATCTAAGGAACCAGCACACACAAATTGCCTGGTAGAAATGATGAGTTTGTGTTTCTTCTCATTAACAGTGGTGTAAATCTATGAAAACCAGAGCCAGAAACTTTAACTAAGAATGATGGGAACTGTATTAGAAACTTGGGAAAACTTCAAAGTGGTTACTAAAGTATTGGTGGTCGTCTGGCAGATTTATTGTGTATATGTAATAAAGCACTTCAAAATATGTGTTGGAATCACACAGCAAAGTACAGCTTGTGATCTTGTGCTGCACAGTAACTGAAAGCTTGGCAACTGGCCAATTACATTTATTGGTATCACTTGTATGGTGTATTAGTACCTTATGTGTAGAGTCCCTTATGTCTCCTTTGCAATTAATTTGGGCCTTGAGCTGAATGCAAGTGAATCCAGCCCCATCAAATTGTGGATACAATGACAAATCCATTACAAAGGAGACACTATCCTGCATGTAAAATTCCTCAGCAAGATGGCATTATCCAGACTGCCAGTCATTTGTATGCTAAGCACTGGAGGATATGTCAGACATACATTTACAATTCCATGAGAGACCTAAAGGATGTTATAAAACATCCAGGTCTTTTGGTTGTAAATTTTCTTGTAATAATAAACATGGCCATTTTAAGCAGGTTAAAAAGAAAACAACCCCTCCTGTCAGTACTTCTCCGACTGTAACCAATTAGCTGTAGTAACTCCATTGCAGAATAATACATATTTTTCAGTATGGGATATTAAAACGCATAGCCAACAGAAAAAAAACCCCATGAGTTTCTGAATCTTCTACCTCTTTCCCATTTTTTCTTTAGTAAGTGACCCTACCAGTAGAGACTTTTTAATGTACCTGAGTTTATTTTATGGTTAACCAATTTCTCTCTTTGATTAAAGACAGTCAAATCTAGAGGAAGGTTAAATTAACCATTTTTTAAAGATGTCAGCATCTGTAAAGTATGTAAGATAATAGAAATACTATATTTTATGCATAAGACAGTGTACTGGGTTAAATCTACACAAAACTGGCCTAGCAGGTCATTATTTTGGTAAGTATTTTGAAATGGTGACAAATACAAATGAGAGCAGAATATGGTTGTAGAGTATTTGAAAAAGTGAATGCAACTGCAGTGGTTTTGGGCAGAGATTTTGCTATTTGATGCAGACTAAATAGTTGCCTGAACTAATTTTGCAAAGGTTTATTTTGTATGTAGGACAAGGATGGCAGTATTGCAGACAGTTTCATCACTCGTGGAATTGAGATCTGATCCACAGCCCCTTGAAGTCTTTGGGAGTCTTCCTGTTGATTTCAGTGGGCTTTGAATCAGGCTTTAAGCATTTCACCCAAATAATGACATTTATATGTTAAAATGACAGACCCCATGTCTGAAAGTTGGCTTTTTCCTTCCCGCTAGTATTACGTCCTTCGTATCTGAAATGTTTATCATGTGCCTTTTCTGATATTTGTTTAGAAAACAAGTTTGCATGTAATTTTGAATAACCATGTTAGATTTTGTGTATATTTTCTACATTATCTTCCTTATTTCCTTTTCCATTTCCCCATGATCAAGAAGCAGCAAGATTTGACAGAAGAAACTGAATGTGACAGTGGCGTTTCTGTAACATTCATAGCTTCTTGCTTTGAAAATGAATTGTTCTCATGACTGCGCTTTTAATGTATTCTGTACTTGCAGCCTCTCTTGTTCTGATGTCACTCATTCATAGCACTTGCTTATACAGCTCCATGTAGTGTAATTTCAGACATTTCTGAATTCTGAAAAATATGCAGAGACTGGTAATCTAGTTGTAAGCACTAACTTTAAATTAAATAAAAGGTGGCTTTCACTTTGGTGGGCTAGAGAGTGAAAACACCTAGCATTCAATATCAACTTTGTTTTTTGTGAAATGTACTCTGGAGGAATATGATGCACCATGACAGTGATCTAGAAAATAAATGAAGCCATTATACAAAAAAAATGGAATATGTAGGGCTGTATGGCCCTCTAAAAACAAAGGTGATTGATTAGATTAAACCAGAAGAGGAGCGTTTCATAGCTTGCTTTGTTTTAAGTTTAATACTTACAAAAGATGCTAGCTAGATAGTCTTGGAGATTGCCATGCTTTTTGTAACCACAATGGCTACAGCACAGGCAGGAGTGGTGTCAGTTGCAGTGCCTTGCCCAGTTCAGAAGTTCGAAACTGTAATATCCATAACATTCAGTAAACCTAGTACATTTGGCTCATTGGCTTTTTTCCTAAGACTTGCTATAAAGGTACTAGTCCATGCCAGTTGCAGTGTAGCTACCCATCAACCAAGAGTGCTGAGAGGTCACCACTTTGTTCACATAGATTTTTTAAAGGCCTTTTGTTCACTGGTAAAACAAGCTACTGTTGAACCAGCTATCTGGTTTTCATAAGGTGGCCTAAGAACATCATGGGCTCATCTACATGTTGCCCTATGGTGATGTAGCAACAAGCTACGTTGCCGTACAGTGCACTACAGCAACGTAGCAATCACACAGGTCTCCATCTAATCACCAGCTATGTCGCCGTAGTGGGGCACTCCCCCGATGTAGTTCACCACCACAGTGACACAGCAGCGACATCTAACTGTGTGCCATGCGCATGGCACAGTAACCACCCATACTGCGCAGTGCTTTAGTACTTCCAAAAGGTGATGTGATTTGTCCCATGTATTTAAAATAAAAGTAATATGGCTAAAATGTTGAGGATGGGAAAAGAGGAACTGCATCCAAACTGTGATTTGTCACTGTGCCACTCTTGCTCACTTTTGTAACGAGTGCCACAACTCTTGTCACTGAAGCTTACTTGCTGATGCTGATTTGTTTGGAATCAAATCAACCACACAGAGATAATGCCCTGAGTAATCTGTACTCCAGATTTTTGGTGAACAACTTTGTACAGTTCATCAGAAGTGCCTGTGATGTACATCTAAATTTACATGTAAATATGTTGTGTTCAAACAAATAAGTAGATCTAGTTTTAAAAAAAAGGCTTTGATGTTTTAATTTTAGAGTATTTCCGTGTATAACTATGATGTGTACATGACCTAAAGTCATTACTTATCAGATGTGAACACGTATCTGAGTACATAATCTTCTGAATGATTTAACAGTTTTGTCCTTGGTGACTTTGAACCAGCCAGATGATGAATTATCAGGTTCTATGTGTATAACAAATGTTATTGTGTTGGGTGGGCCTTAGTAGACTGTGGTTACCGTTAAAAAATGTAAGCGTGACAACAGATATCCAGTCCAGTTCCCTCTGCTTCTCCTTTGCTGGTAGATTAACTCAGCTAAGACTAGCCTTACAAGACTGACAACTGTTTTCATAACCGGAGCAAGGAATGATCAGTTTTCCTACAACTTCTAATCAAATTTGTATTCTCCTTGTTGTTGAACATTGGTTTTAGAGACCCAAAGTATGGGTAATGTGCTATTAATGTTTCTGACAGCACATGGTATTGTTCCCTTGTCCAATCAGTGGCTGTGGCTGGGGTGTCTTGTTGTTGTCTTCTGCATGTAAGTTGTAACAATTACAGGATTTCCCAGCCATGTCCATATAATAGTTTTGGCTCATTCCAACCATAAGAAAATGACATACAAGATTGGAAAGAACCTCTCACATCATTAAGTCCAGTCCCCTGCAAATGTAAGAACCACATCACGTAATCATAGAAGTCACAGAGGAGTAGGGCTGGAAGGGACCTCAAAAGGTCATCTAGTCCAACCCCTTGTCAGAAGCAGGAATGGTCTTGTGTCCCCCCACTGGGTTTGAACCTGCAGTCCCCAACTTAGAACTGGCTGGGGTTGTTAGCTCTCATTACTCTTATAGAAGACTGTCGCAGAAATGCAGTACTAACTCCTCTGATTAGATAGTTTTTCCTACTTTTTAGTCTAATTTTATTCAGGGACAGTTTATGCTTGTTTGTCCCTGTGCCAGCAGGATAAAGAAAAGCTGTCTGGTGACTTGCCCTGTCTTGTATTCATAACAGCAAACATATCTACTCTCAATCTTTGTCTCACTAGGTCAAACAAACCAAGTTTGTTTTTTTAGTGTCCTCTAGTAAATGGGGTGATGACTGGGCAACTGCAGAGCCTAGTAACATTTATTGTTTGAACATGGATGACCAGAATTGTATGCAGAATGCCAGAAGAGGTGTAGTACCTTGTACAGTAGCATTAGCACTTCCCCTTTGCTACAGAAAGTACCTTGCCTGGTGCAATCTAGGATAGCATTTACCTTCCTTCACAGCCATACCACATTGGTAGCTCACAGTCCCATTTCTATTGCTTCAGTCTTTAAAGTCATTCAGTTCTTCCTGTGCAGTATTCTAATCCTCCTGAGTACTGGCAGTGCTAAAAATACTATGTTTGCTCTTGACACTAATCCTTGAAGAACTTCAGTAGGAATCTTCCTCCAGTCAGATATGTTTTTTCTCTGCACGACTAGTTGCTGGTTTCCCATTAGCCAGTTCCTTACCCACTTGTACTATAGGACATCTTTGATAAAATTCACTCTGAGCACTGAAAAAATCTCAGAGCCATTGACTATATCATAGATGACAGGCAAGGTCCCAGAAGACTTGAGGAGGGCTAAACTAGTGGCCATCTAAAAAGGGAAAAGGAGAACCAGCAGAATTATAGACTGTCTTGATCATTGGGTGCATCCACACAAGAGACTTAATGCACAGAAGACTAATTCTACTGTACATTAGTGTGGCTGGCAGACCCCATGCTAATGCACAGTAGATTTAGTCTAATGCACAGTAGTGTCACTAAAAAAAATTTTCATCTGTGCTAATGTGCAATAGCACTGATTACGGTGCATTATTACCTGTCATTACCTTTAGTAGACTATGGTTACAATTAAAAATGTAACTGACAACCGATATACAGGTACTAATAAAAATGTAGATATGCCCACTAGCAGCTAACATGGACTTGTTAAGAATAAATTATGCAAACCAACCTGATAGCTAACTAGTTTGATGGATGAAGGCTATGCAGTGGATATAATACAATTAGAGCATCTTTTGATATAGTCCCACATGAGATTCTCATAAACTGGAGAAACATGGGCTACATAGAATTACTGTTAGGTGGATAAATAATTGGGTGAGTAGCCACAAAGAATAACTATAAACAGAACAATGTTCAGATAGTAGGAGGTTTCAGGTGGGGTGCCAGGTGTGTCCTGAGTTCGTGGTTAACATTTTTATTATGGATTTTTTTGTTGTTTTTTTTATCAATGATGCAGGAATGGAGAGCTTCCTGATCAAGTTTGCAGACAAAACAAAACTGTGAGGAGTTGCAAACGATTTGGAGGATTAGAGCAGAATTCACAAGGATCTTGATAAACTGGAGACCTTAGCTCTAGATGGCAAAATGAAATCCAGTAAAGGCAAATGTGAGGTGCCACCCTTAGGGAAGAAAAAGCAAATGCGCAAGTAGAGAATGGGAGATAATTTGGTAGGCATTAGTATTGCCAAGAAAGATGTGGGGGTCATGGTGGATCACAGACTCAACATAAGTCAGCAATATGATATAGTTCCAAAAATTAGCTAATGTAAGTTGGGGAAGCATTAACAGAAGTATTGTATATAGGGCATAGGAGGTGATAGCACTACTCTACTCAATGTTGGTTAGACCTCAATTAGAACTCAAAAGGCCACTTCTCAGCCTTTCAGCTAAGATCTTTTGAACAGTTCTGGGCACTGCATTTTAAGAAAGATGTAGAAAAAATTGGAAAGAATACAGAAGAGAGACACAAATATGATTATGAGGAGGACAGTCTATTCTCTGTAGCCATAGGTGGCAGAACAACAAGTTTTGGTTGGATATTAGGAAGACATTTCTAATTATGAGGGTGTTTACGGAATGGAACAGGTTACCTAGTGAGGTTGTGGACTCTCCATTCCTGGCAGTTTTTAAGAGTCAAACACTTTTGATAACTGGTGATGTTTCTGGTAGCTTTGCCTGCTGGTATGGGCAACTGGTGCCTCCCGAGTCTAGGGGCACCAGATCACCGACTGGGGGAGGCGGGGTCCCTTAGTGGCTGATCGCCAAGCCCAAAATCACCGGCGGTGAAACCAGAAGTGCACTTCCACCGTCACTTCCAGTTTTGCAGCTGGCATTTCGGGGGGGGTACACGGCCAATCTCAGGGGGTGCATGTGCACCCATGTGCACCTCCTATGCATCGCCAGTGGGTATCAGCCTGTGTAACTGAGACTTAACCATGGGCAAATAGCTCTCAGACCCAGTTGCAGTTCCACAAAAGCTTGACAACTGTTTGGAAAAGGCCCACAGAAGTCATAATTTTGCTGTCTGAAAAAGGCAGCAGAAACAAGTATTGACATTTCAGGACATAGCAATGTTGTACCTTGGGGAAACTTTGTATCTAGTTTTAAAAGCAATTCAGCTAAAACAATTTGGCTTCTTTAAACCATCCCCAATCCCCAAAAATGGTACAGACAACAGTTCCAACCAGGTTTAAAACCAGATAGAACAAGTCCTGACTGCCCCCAGTTAGAAAAGGAAGAGGAAGAATAGGGGCAATAAAAAAAAGAGGGAGTTGACAGGCCTGGCCCTTGGAAAGGGAGTACTGGCAACTCAGGAGTCTGATATAAATCCAGTTGTTAACATTTTTAATGTTGGTTTGAGTTACAGGAGCATAAAAATCAGAACAGCAAACTAATTTCCTTCTGTTTGTTTCTACATTCCTCTGACTTAAAAATGAAGTTTTTAAATAAGAATCAAACCTAACATGAGGCCTTAAGACCTTATCTATTCCAGCTTTAGCATGCAGAGTCTATTTTTTACAACCAAGTTACAAATCCTTGTAAATAGGCCTGATCAACCTTTAAGTACAGAGGTGCTAACAGATAACCATATAATAAGTAAGGCTGTAATACAGTTAGTGCTAGTATATCACACTATAATAGTACATGGATTCCTGCTCATTGTCTGTATAGACAACATATGTATTTTATGTTAGGGAATACAGTCTGGTGCATATTCAAACTGTCAGTTTATAATCTGTTTTTCTTATAAGATTATCTTAATACTTAGTGTTTTATATAGATTTTAGTACTTTCCTTTTTTAACTATTGCACAAATGCAAATGTTCTTGTTTTCAAAATAGCAAATTATTACAGAATTTTTAATCTGATGGAGAAAATCCTATTTCCAACTTGACCTGTTCTCAGAAACGTTTTGGGTGTGATGCATATGAATTGGCTCTGCCAGCTTTGTTTTGCGCTTGTGTTTATCTTGTAAGTTGCCATATAAAAGGAGTTCTGTCTCTTAATTGCTGATGCCACCCACTGCTAGTAAAACATTCACAGTGACAAGGACTATTTTGTTTCACCATTACGGGTGTGGCTACTGTTGGCCTAAGTCATCATGTGACATTACATCATTGTCTTTGCTGCCTGAGACCCTTCTAATCTTCCACTAGGTTGTAGTCATGAGATTTTGACAAACACCAAAATGAAACACTGCACATTTTAACACCTTAGTTTTGAGTGTGATATTTTTGTCATAAATATTACAGGCATTAGGCTGTTCAAGTGAATGATCTGGCTTTCCTGTAGCTAAACAAAATATTGCTTTTTATAAAATACAGCCATTGTAATTTGGGGTTCTAAATTCATGCACATTTTTATTAACATCATAGTATCCACTTCTATGAGAGTATTTAATACAAATGCCTGTGGTTTTCAATGTTACTAACATTGTAACATCAGTAAAGTGACTTTCAATGAAAAAGACTGTTGTGTGCATTTATTTTTGCAATTTTTTTGTTATGGTTAACACTAGTACAACCTGCTTTAACAGGCCTCTTAAATAGGGGTGCTGAGGGCAGTGGTTCCTAATTGATAGCAGTGGAATGCAGATATGCTTCTTCAGCATTCCAGATGCACCTTGGCAAATGATAGCGCAAACTTCCCACATAGTAACCTCCTGCTATGCCTTGTCCTCCTTACAGAGGAAGTATCTGCAGTGATGACTCAGTTTCTCTTTCCAGCCAGGAAGCAGCTAACCAGAAAAACATGAATGTGACAGAACATTTCCCTTCTAAAACCCAGAACTAATCAAAACAGAAGCAGCACTTTTCCTAATCTGATCTCTACTGAGATCTCTAGTGAACCTTCTACGACATAGAGTTGTGCTCTCTCCGAAATTTTCTCCCAGCATGCCTTTTGGGGTTTGAATCTTTAAGTTTGGCAGAGACAGAACCGCAGTTTTAAAGCAGTCATTTTGTACCTGACAGCTGCTTGCTGTCTCTCCCATTCTATACTGGTAGGTAATCCTTAACTCTGGTTTGTTTTTTCCTATGTGTTCTTAAGTGGAGGTACATTTTGTACATCCAAATAACCATCCTATGGCAATAAGGTTTAATTGCTATCTTAGGCCTAATTAAAAAAAAAAAAATCCAGCCAAATCTTTTTTGCATCTTGAGATCAGAGAGTTTGAACTGGAGTGTCTGTACTAAAATTTTCAGAGACTGGTTTAAGAAGAAGAAGAAGCTGGGGGAATTTTATTCCTATAGCATGCTGGTAAACCACTTTTATTATGAATACATAATAATGATATTAAGTCATAAAATTAACAATAAAAATAGGATTTTCTTTAGCTATGTGTATTTAAGAGACTGATAAACAAAACAAAATTATTTTAAACTACCAAAGCAAAGGCAAGTCCCTTAATGTTTTATTAACTTGATTCCCTTGGATGCTGAGGATTTCATTTTATAGATATGGTTGCATAGCATTTTCAACAAATTATCTAGGAATAAGATGCGTCCCCATCTTCATTTACTACAAGAACGTGAAATTTCAGTAAGTATTAACTCTTGGTATTAGGCATGCCCAGCGGCAACGCGTAGGGGGTGCACTTGGGTGCACACGCACCCCGTAAGTGTGGCGATGAACCTCATGCAAAAAGGCAGGCGCTTGTCAAGGCCCCTCCCCCATCACCACCAACAGTGTCGGCGGCGTCTGCAGGAGCTCCACTGCTCTCCCGCCGCTGCCGTGCCCCCCCAGCCGCTGGGGGCACAGGTCCTTCATGGGCATGCTGCTGTCTTCAACTGAATGCAGAGCTAGACTACTTAAGCTACTGAGTCACAAGTTGGCTCTTTGAAAGGTATATTGAGCAAAAAAACTTGTGGGCTCATGCTTTCTTTTTACAGTATTTTTTTTTAACATAAAAGCTAGTCTACACTCATATCAGAACTAAGGCAATGGAATGAAGTCTGGGAAGAAAAGGAGAATTTCTGCTTTTTGTTTGTAAAATTACATACTTCTTGGCTTGGCTGCTCCAAAAATAACATTTTATATCATGAGCCTTATTCTCAAATGACTATGCAAACATCAATCCTTCCACTGAAAAAGTGCTCATTTTGTAGTTGGCAAAATAAGTATGTTGTATTAAACTATCTGCACAATAATTATTATAACACATTAAGTAAGCTTTTTTCATACAACTCCATATAACAGTAGTCAAAATGCACAGTGAAATTGAAATTTTAAATCAGACTTTTATTTTTCAGGCATAATTTTGCACCTACAGGTAGTTGTATTTGTACCTGTCTTATAGAGTAAGCTAGCAACATAAATTACGTGAAATGTTGTACCACAACATATTGAGGCCCCAAAAGTCCAGACTGAGATGTCTAATATGCTATATTCATCTTTTGGGGATGGGGGCTCATCTTCAGCACATGCAATTTCTCCCTTTCCTGTAGTCATAAGTATTGTTGTGCCAGGAAAAAGATAATTCAAAGGGAAAAGGTAATAGCGTGTGGTGGTGGTAGGGTTTTGGGGAGGTGGTTTGAAGTCTCTGCATTTGGTAGCATGATCAAAACAGGATAAAGAGGAAGCTCTGACCCTTGTACAAAGAACCTGAAGAAAAGCCCACTGAAGTCAAGGAAAAGATTTCTACTGAGACTTAATTGGTCTTGAATCAGGCAGTCATTTTTATAGATTTTGTCACACCAACATGGATGTCCTCTTTGGATCCTATTGGACTAAAATAAATTTACTTTAAAAATGTTGCTTATAAGAAAGGTTGTATTTGGTGCCTAACTCATTGTGTTGTAAACAGACCCGGTTTAATATAATCATCAGGGGTAGAATTCTATTTCCCTCTGAGTGTCCAAATGGTCATTTGCTATCAGCATGGGTGGTGTTTTTGGCACTTGCACACTGGTTGTGATTATTACCCCCGTACTGTAGATACAAGAGTATGCATGTAGACTAAGCATGTTCAGTCAGCTATGCAGTGGCTGGGCATGGGCATGTACAACTATTCTGGATGTACAAGTTAGGGAAATGTAGCTAAATAGAAATCTGGAGAGGAGGAGGTAAGGACCCTCCCATATCTCAGTCCCACTGGCTGAGTTGGCTAGGTCATTTGTCCAGGAAGTGGGAGGTCTAGGCTCTAGGGTTCCAACCTCCACTTCCTCAACCCAGAAGGGGATTTGAATCCATCTCCATGACTTCCCAACACAATGTTTTAACCACAAAGCTAGTAGGGTTTCCAGCAAATGGAACATTAAATTAATCAAACTGTGAAATAATAAAAGTTCAAATAAAATATTCAGCATTAGTAGTACTGAGATGAACCAAGTTTCTGAGAATGTTAAACGTGGTAAAAGGAACCCTAGAAATGGAACAGCATTACAGTATAAGCTTCAAAGGAAAGATCAAGGTGAATCAAGATTAGTAACCTATTTTCTGGTGCAGGGGAAAAGACAAGGAGCAATAACCCTAAATTGGATAGTGCCTAACCACAGGGCTAGGCACTATGCAGTCCTCTCTCCTGCATATCTTTGAAGTTGGGCCCCTGGGCAGCCAAAACAAGGAAATACATAGGACTAGAAGGAATAGAGCAAGTTAGAGGGTATGTAGCTCAGTGAAATAGCTGCCAGCCTGGAAGGGAAGAAAGTCCTTGGTTCCAGTGTGGACTCTAGCTCCCAATGGAGCAAACTTCCTCATTGTACTGTTCTCCATCCAGTGACCATTAAATGCAGTGGGCCAGTGGCTCAGTTTCAGGAGGAGGGGGGAGCTGATTATAGTCTTTTTGCTTTCAAAGTTTGGGATTGAAAGTATAGAGTGTAAACTGATTTCTAGGATGCTGTCTTCGTGTGTAGAGAACAACAGCACTGGTTTACAAGGTAGCACAAATTGAAGAGTCTTCTTACAATAGCAAGGGCAACCCATTACAAGATTGCACTGAAGGAAAAGATTAAATTCTTGTTTGAATAGCCTCTACACATTCCCACTTAGGGGAAGTGCCAACAGCACAGCTTGTAGGCTGAAGCAGAGTGAAGAGAGTCCATCTTGAAAACTTGGGTTAGAAATACATTTCCCCACACTTCCTCTTAATACACAAGATAAATATTGCACTCAGAGTTAATTCTTCAGTTTATACATCTGTTCTCTGTAATATTATCAACAGCAACAAAATACTACCATGGGCCATCTATTTGTTTCCATTTAAAACCAACTTAAGACAAGTAGCACTCCAAGAACAGTTTTTAGTAGATCACGAGGGGGAATTAAACACTGTCACAAAAACTTTAAAACTCTACATAATTTGATTATACATAGAAGTGACTTAACAAGTATATGCAAAATTTAAAAAAAATCTTTAATCAAGTCACGAGCTCAGTGTGAGAGCAGACAATACATTGTTAACTTGTGCTCATTATCAAAACAAACAAATCAAGTATATAAAGCACAATCTTATATAAAATATGCAAATACCAATATTTAGTTACAAGCCATGGTAGTTTTTGGTGCAGAGCAAAACACACACTGGAATGCGAATCAAGCTTCTCTTCATCTTTCTTCCTCTTGATTCAGATGCTCATAACGCACTGTATGAACTGAAAGAAATAGGCATCCATGTTAAAGCACCATGGAACATGACTATTCCTTTTTGTTACTGAAATACTCTTCAAATACACCTAGTGCCCTCAGCAACATTTTCTACAAAATGTCTTCTGTCAAACAGTGACTAGACTTTTTTTCCTTCTGTGCCTATTTATGGGCAGCAGAGACAAAAGATAAAGGGTTTAAAGTCAGGTACAGGAAGTGGTGGGATAGCTTTTGACAAATTCGAAGACAGGGGCCAGATTAAACTATTACTTGAGAGGGTGAGCTAGGAAGCTTTCTGTACACGCTGGCCAGTCTAAGTAGCATGTACACACCTTATGATTCTCCATAAAATTTGGGCCTGGGAGAGAGGATGGAACAGCACAGAGTAATTCTTGGCTCTCAGCCAGAACTGCTACAGTATATGGAGAGATCACTTCACTAGGTTCCAAACCTACTTTCCTTTTATAATTTTATCCAGTTTAAGTAAACAGATGATGCACTTACGTCATCATACTGGAAATTCACAAAGCCTTGCTGAGCTGCATCCCTTCTTCGAAAACTCTCTGCAAAAATACACAGGAAAAAACTACATTAATGCCTTGTGGGCACAAGAAGTGCTATTTCATCCAAATAGTCAGGAACTTAAAATTAGTAATTTATTTTTATAATAATATACCACTTGCAATGGGATGATCTCCTAGAGTTTACTTAATGTCTAAAATTATCACTTGCTTTGTGCAAGGTTTTTCCTTTACTTGCTTCCCCTTCCCCTCCAAAGGTTTGCGTCTCCTTTCAGTGACGGTCTAGGAGCTGATTTTGTGGAGTCAGTAGGTTTCTTGCTGATGTTGCAGGCAGTCAGCAGTTTGCTGCTATCAGTAGGTCTCTTTCTGGCATGGCAGGAGGCATAATGCTGGGGCAGGGCATAAAATTCCTCTAATCCCAATCTTATCAGCATTTTAATATCTGCTGGAGACCTAACGATTTAGCTAACAAATAGAATCTCTAGTATTATGTCAACACTATATTTATATGCCACAGTATAAAAACTGGTTCTTCTGATGCACTTAAGACCATGAGAAGTAGATAAATGAGAGAATTTTAAAAATTCACCCATTTTATGGTACCAGTTTTGTCTGAAAATAGCTAGTGCTAAAGAAAAATCCAGGTCTTGGGATTAAAAGGTTAAATACTGCAATTTAATCAGATTTCATGATGTAAAAATACATTACCAAACGCCAATAACCAGGCCATACTCAAACGTACCAGTGAGAGCTCTGAGTTTTACACAGCAGGCAATGTAATCATCAAAAGTAATCTTCCCATGGGTGCTGTATCGTTTTACAATTGCAGCGACTGCCTGTGGGCTCAGCCTAAATCCTATTTGAAGGGGAGAGAAAATTCACAGTGAAATGACAGTCAGGTTAGAGAGGTCCATGGCAATCCTCAATGGGAGATATGTTCCAGGCCAATTAATGCAAAACACTTTGTTGGGAAATCCCACCAACAAGCTAATGTCTTAATACTAAGAGAGAAAACTTCACCTGACAGCAATGGGGAAATTTCATAACTTACCCATATTTGTCAAGGCTTTCTCCAGCTCTTGACGATCTACTGAGCCACTTCTGTCGTTGTCAAAACCCATGAAGTGTTGTCTCCACCCATTCAGCACAGCCCAGAGCTCTTTAAATTCATTGAATCCCATTGTGCCAGACATATCCCTCTGAATGAAGGCTAAGGAAAATGCCATTTAATTTCCAAAAACAAGTGCCAAGTATGTCATAGTGGGGAAATTACAGACATAACTAGCCTTGTTAGTCTGAAGTCAAGTAGAAGGCAGGGTAGATTTGCACCTTTTAGAGTAGGGGTGGACAAAATATGGTTTGTGGGCTAGATCTGGCTCATGGCTGCCCCTGTGGCACTCTGCATGGGGCTGAGCCCTGTCCGCTCCTGCCTGAGGCAGCCTGCACTGCACTCCCACCCACCTCAGCCCTGGCCAGTGCGCACAGCTTCTTGGCTGGGCTGCTCCTAGTGCTGCTACAGCTACACAGGTACTGCTCAGCTCCCCCTGCCTCTGGTGGTTCCTCCTCTTCCTCCTACCACACTGCTCTGGCAGCAGATAACATGGGGAAGCCATGGGAATATGTGCCAGGCACTACATGCTCAGTCAGGCAGGGGGAAATCTGCAGCTGGGAAGCTCCTGCCTTAGTGTGCGGGGCTCCAGCTCCAGCTTTCCACCCACTTGGCCATTTGCAGGTGGCTGCTCATTGCACTGGGTGGGCAGCCCTATTGTGTAGGGGAAAACTTCAAACTGCATTAAAAATTGTGGGAACTTTTTCTTTGAGTAGCTCTAGAACCCCATCCTCTGGAGCAAGGGTTGGCCTTTGTAACAGGATCTTTGTCCCCATTGAAAACTACACAAATTTGACACATATTCAGTGCAGATTTCTTTTAAGGATTTCAGCTGATATCATCATACATTTCCCTGTTTGCTATGTGTATCTGACCAGATTGCACATCCCTAGAAAGCAGCTGAGCGTGAGCTCACCCAGGGCTGCTATGCAGGGCTTACAAAGATGCTGTAAGTTGCTAAAGCCTGTCCTCACTAAGCCCAAGCTTCTCTTGGGTCTCTAAAAAGACTGGGGCAATGCCATCTCCAAGAACAAGCAGGTATGTTCAGGGGTCAAATCTCCTTTGCCTGAAATGGTTCTCTCACTCCATGACAGGGTCAGACATTGGAACAACAAGAAAGGTATCTTTCTTTTTCAGCTATTCTCAATTAGAACTACTCCCCAGTAGAGGAGATGGGCTGGAAGAGATTAAGCTTAGAGGGAATGAGTAGAAGACTTTTTCCGAGTAGAGTATACTTCTACACAAACCCAAGATTCCTGAGAAATAATAACCCCATTCTTGGAAAACCTGTGAAATGCACATAAAGCATTTTTTCATACTTCTCTAGTGTGTGCCTACAGAAGATAACAGCAGATAGCATACTATTATTTACTCCCTTAGGAACAGTTTGAATGGGAGATCTAAAGATTTTAGCTCCATTACTGATTAATGTGAACGTTAATAAGATACCATGTAATGGAGGCTCTTTTCAGTTTCGTTCTTTAAAAGGCTAGGAAATCATACACAAACATTAATTAAAAATCACTGTTCTTGATAAGCAGCATCCTGGTCATTAAATATACATTATACTTCAAAACATTAAGATTTCAATGTCAAGCACTGCAAAAATAGAGAAATTCCAGAATTCATGGTTTGCATAACTTTGCCTCCCCGATCTTTAATTACATGCTACCTGCCGCCCCTATACCCCTTCCAACCTCATTTAGCATACAAGATGAGCAATGTTCACTTAATGAATAATTCAGTATTTTGAATTCTCCTTGTTCAGCATACAACTGTACCTTACATTGTATACCATTTCAACTCTGCTCTCTGGACAGAATTACTAACTCTGAAACTCCTTGCTGAGATGCCAGAATGTTTCACAAATCTTAATGTATCTTTACAACTCCTTAGTGAGAGATGGTTATGATATTAAATCACACTTTCTGTGTCTCAGTTTCCTATCTGTAAAGTATAAAGGCAAAAATATGCACAGAATTTAAGTCTGCACTGAAAAAATTTGCACTGAGTATCAGTCTGATATACAGGACCTGACTTCTTAACATGTTTATTATTGTACAGCATGTTGTATTTAAAGCACTTCAGTTGCAGCTGTTGATGTTGGGCATTTCTGCAAATTGGACCTCAGAGCCAAAAGCTGAATACCCGCAAAATAATCAGTGTTCTCAGGGACAATCTACGAGAAGCTTGGTTTAAAAGGTGCTTTGTGACACACAGCAATTCAGCAGAAGATGAGGGATAGAATTCAGTTTTCAAGGACAGCATCTAATTGTCTTCATCATGAGACTCTCTTCTCTTGTAATTCCATTCCTTACCTGTTCCTCATCTTGCTTTTTCTGCAACAAATGAGGGAAGGGTCCTGTAGAAAACAGGCTCATTTACTACACAACCCTGAGTCATCCCCAGAGCAGATCCATCCTCAGCACTGAATAAGACTCAGATTTTGGGGGGCGAATATTATGTAATTAAATATGATAACAAAGATCTTTAATTACATGCAGAAAGGGGGCAAATGCTATCTTGATTCTGGCATTTCCTAATCTGTGTCCTTACCTCTTTCTTTTAATGTAATTTCAATGTAATTTTGTATAAATATGTATACTGTGTAAATGTATTTGCTAAAAGGAGTAAGACAAAGGATACATCCAACATTGAGACCATGAGCCTGCAAGTCTCTAAGTTGAAAGCTGTTTAAATTAAAAGAGGAAAAAAAGATCAGCAGTAAATATTAATTCCTGATTTCTCAGCTGTGTTTCATAATATGTACATGCAATAAGACACTGATCCACTGGAGAGCTGCTGTACTTAGCCATTCCATTATCTGATTCAAACAAACAACCTCTGCTCGCAAGACAAATGAAAATGCTAACACACTGTACTGCCTGTTATCTCTTAAATTACAAATTGCGGCTGAGATGGACCAAACTCCTCTTACGTCAAACAAATCTTGTCACTAGGCTAGTCTGGTACATAAATAATATTAGATTTACAATTTACATTCTAATGGAAATGGAGTTGACATATACAAGGAATGATTTGGCCTATAGAATGTTTATTACCAGTGATGACTCAAGAAGCAGAAAACAGCTTAATTTTTTCAGATCCCAAACTTCCTTGATACCAAAATTCTCTCTTTTTAAACTGAAAAAGTTTGGTCTGGCATCACCCAGAGGAAAGCAAAAACACATCATACCACTTATAGAGTAACTTCTCAGAAAAGGGAGATGTTAAAAACACAAATCTTTTGAAGTTGTTGATTTTATGGACTTCTTTGTTCTGAAAGCCAAATTTGATCTTGATTATTAGTGTCTAAAGAGGGCACCAAGCCAGATCTGCAGTCTGATTTGCATTCATCAGTTCAAATTCCTTTACGGCTTTGGGTGCCAGTTAAACTATAACTGAGGTATACTATGTTTCCCCATTGTAACAGTCTACTAAGTAAACATTGGGGTCCATTCAACTAATGATATGTTATCTTCTATTGAATTAACCTTCCTGTATTGGTACTGACATACAGTTAAAAGCCAGAATTATAAAGGATAATGTGCTATATCATAAAATCTGTGTGGGGAAGCAGTTCTCAGAAAAACCCTGAATTACTAAATGACTGACCAGATTAAATGACAATTGTGAAATAAATCCTTTAACATGTGACTCTTTAGAATTCAACATTTTGGGAAGTAGTAATGTGTCTGTTCTGAGAGTGAACTGCAGCCTTATTTCTATCTGAAGCACAAATATTCTCTCTGGCAAGTGAGGAATCTAGTCCTGAGTTCTGGGGTAGAATAAGAAAAACTACTGAAAAAGTTCTTGAATTCATCCTCTAAATCAGGGTGTTCAACTTCTGGACAGCATGGAGGCTGCACATACCATGTGTGCTCCCCAGAGTACCCTCCTCAACCATGTGAGCATCCCCACTTCTTCCCAGTTATGTGGGCAGTGCAAGCAACCCAGCTCTACCCTGCCACACAGGCAGCACAGGCAGCCTGGCTCTCTTCCACAGCCTCCTCTTGACCAGGCATACAGCACTTTATAAAGCTTTGACCGCCTTATAGCTGTGCACATGGCACAAGCAAGCAAGCTGGCTTTCCTCTGGCCATACACACAGTGTGAGCAGCCCAACCCTCCCCTGCCACATGGGCAGTGTAACCACCCAGGCTCTTTCCTCACTGCATGGCAAGTGTGACCCACCCAACCCCCCTCCAATGCATGCCTCCCTCCTGGCTCGATGCATAACCCTAGCAAACTGATTCCTCTCTTGCCATGCAGGTAGCCTGGATCTTCCCCCACTGAGTATGCAGTGCCCTCCTGCTGCCCAGTCCTGCTACTGTCCCAGGAGCAGGGGGCAGGAAGTAGAACCCAGAGGAGGAAGGAGCCTGGAGATCCTCGTTGCTGCTGAAGCAGCAGGAGTGATAGGGGGAACAGCAGTTGTATAGGAGCCCAGGGGCTGCATTTTAATCCCTTTTGGGCTATATGTGATCTGCAGGTCTCCAGTTGGACAGCCCTGCTCCAGAAACTCGAAGGAACATAGGCTTTGGGTACACAAATGGGAACCCAAGGATGCAAAAGACTTTATACCTTCTCAAGACTAGTTCTCAAGAGGATTTTATCCTGACTTCTAATGCGACATGCTAGACAAATCTTGAACATGGGTGTCCACAATTCCTGGTCCAACTTAAATTGTAGATAACTATGCAATGGAATAGTATATATATATGTATACTAACTTACTTGCTTGAGTAACAAAAAAACTGCCCAAATTTTGCAAAACACTAGTAGTTCATCTCTGCCAGTAAGAAATAAGTTGGAGCCAAAGGCTGCTGACAGACGTGGAAACCAAAACACCAAAACAAAACCAAAACAGTTTTGTGCGTTCATTCAACCCGGCTCCACAACGTCTGTATAGGTCACATGCTTCAGTGGAGGTTTTGGCACTTTTTCCTACAGCTGAGCCAATCAGCTATTTGATAAAAGTGCCAAAAAAATACTGCTGAAGCGCCTGATCTATAGAGACATTGGGCAATGGGGTCAAACTAATGCAATGCCTCTTCTGGGCACACACTGGGCTCAGTGCAGCGCAATTTAAAGTATAGTGCCAAAAAGCAACCAGGACTTGTGGTAGAGGTGATATCTTTTCTTTTATTAGACCAACTAGGTTTTTGCCAAAAAAAAAAAATCTTTAATTGCAAACTTTCGGGCACAAACTCCCTTCATCAGGCATTGGAGAAAAGATTGTAAAAGTTCTCCCGAGTAAAATGAAAGTTCATATTTCATAGGACAGTTGAAGGTGGTAAAATCTCCTATTTGGAAAAGTTAATTTTATATGCAGGTTAGGCTCAGAAGTTGGAATAGTCTGTTTACCTCAAAGTTGTTTGTTGGTAAAGCGACAGGTATTTTTTGGTTTTTTTAATGGCCTGTAGGGGGCCAAAACATCTCCGAAGCATCATCCAATTCATGATGTGTCTAAGTCCAAGGATATGACCCTAACCTGGAACAACCAGTTTCTAGGTATAAGTTCTTGCAGCAAAATGCATTTGTCTCCAGAGTGGAATGTATACAGAAATTTAAACTTACATTTACATTTGAAAATAGGCTAAACAAGGCAAAAAATCCTTCTTGTCAAGTGAACCCAAGAACTATGCACAAAACACAGTTGTCAACTTTCTTGTGACTGATAATGTTTAAAAAACCAAGCATAGATTAGTTTCATTGACCACTTACGTTTATATCCTCCAGCAATGCCTGACTGGGTCAGGCATCTCTGCAGCTCATCAGCATCTATTTGACCATCCTTTTAGAAACAAAAAAAGACATCAGTTAATTTAATTTCTTTCCAGTGTTCTATCCCATGGTATTAAACTACTAATTACCTCTGCAGAAGATGATTTTGTATCTCTGATACCTAGCAAAGCCACCTTTTTTATAACCTGCCTCTCTGTTGAGGAGGGGTTCTTTCTTGCACTTCAATATGCCACATATTCTACCTGTGTAAATCTACAGGTAGTAGATCTTAAACTGTATCTTATCTTAAACTGTAGTAGGATCAGTAGTCTAGATCTAAACCCAAGAATATTATTTTTTGCTACATAACACTATTGGTAACATCTGCTTAGGAGAAACAGGAAGATGTTTTCATACACATCAAGATCCAAGGGCACAGAAATTTAGGTGTGCAACTTTAAGCAAAAGTCCGGCTACCCCAATGTACTAGTTTCAACCTAATAGGCCTTAAATTCATTTTTTTTAAGTTTCTACAAGCAGCAACCATAAAAAACAGATTGGCAATTGTCAAAAAAGTTGGTTTGGAGCACTTAATTGTTAATAAATTAAACCAGAAATAAATATATTTTAAAAGAATAAATTGAGAGGAAAGTTATCTGCTCAGTAAGGAACTTTACATCCTTCTAAAGTATCCTTCTTAAATCAGCCAGAAATCATGAACTGCCAATGTATATTTATATGCAAATAGGTACGACTTATTCAAACACACAAGGTCCAGAAACAAGATTTAGCTTATATTTGAAACTTATCTAATTTACCCAACTTCAGATTTTTCTTCTGTAGCTTTTATTTAAACTTCATAAAACTAAGACTTGCTGCTGAAAGGGAGTGATAAATGAGATCCTCTCTCAAATAGTTCTCTGGATATCACAATTACAGTATTTCTACGAAGGAAGTGGAGGGAAACACATATAAGGTGGTTCCCTATCATTGCCAGACTAGATCTTACAAATTAAGGTATTTTCCTTATTTTTATTTTTAGTTGATATTCAACAAAAGGCAAGAGCATCTTGATTCCCTATGTCACATCAGTGCTCAGTCTATATCTATCAGCATCCTGGTTTTCAGCCTATCATTTTCAGCTGTACTGTCCTGCATACACTACCTTTTTATTGTGTAAGTTGGTTAGAGATCATATGTTTAAACAAACTCTAGTACAGGATTCAAAGTGTTAAACTGATTTAGAACGAGTAGGGGATTGCTTTTATAATTTAAGATTCTTAACAATTCTGAATCAAAGTCAGTATCTTGACAAGTTGAGGATAGGAGAATGTGACTTTAAAAATTATTCAAGGCTGGAAATCAGGAAGTGTCAGGTATTAAAAGACATGTTCTACAAAACAAAACAAAACAAAACAAAACAAACTTATTGTAACTAAGGGCTTTTGTGGGCCTCAGAAATCAAAGCAGTTCCAATTGAGAGAGCGATGCAGTGCTCTGAATGAAGTTTATGATAAAAGGCTCAAGCATATTTTGTCTTAGTTATTTCAGGTCTTATTTGAAACTAGTTTTATTCCAAAAAATATACCTTAAATAAATCAGTTATTTGATATAAAGCGCAATGGCTAATATTAAAGGTGTAGAGATACATCTTAGAATTAATATCTCCCAGAAGTTGCAAATAAGACTGCCAAACCAGTTTGACTAGCCCTTTTAACTTATTGAAAAACTGGGAAGGTCTGACCTCTTAAATACTAGTAGCCACAAAGCATCTAGTATTTTTATTTTATCAGCTCCATGCCACAGTAAACTTAAAGGATTTTATGTATCTGAAGGACTGTTAATAACAGGTAAGATGCATTTCTCTCCAGCTCAGGCTGTCACATTTCTAAAGATCTCTAATTTTATTTAAATAAAGAATGGAGCCCTCACATCAGAAGAACATTTAATGAACACTTAGTAAATTGCTTCACATATTCATTTAATAACTTCACTTAATTTTTATTGCTAGATTGCATTGATCATGAATTGTCATAACTACAGTTGAGGCTCATTTGCAGCAACTCCTGGTAAGAGTGGCTATATTTCCCCTGGGAACATTTTCCATATTATCTATACACAGAACCCTGACTATAATAGCAACAGTTTCTTAGGACCAATATGACACCAGAGCATTGACCTACTGCTGCTAATAGGTATCCACTTTAAGTGTTGTGTAGATTTTAAGATGAAGTTACTGCAAAAAATATATTATGGCTTTGCTTTGTCACTGGGGAATAGGAGGGGCAATTTGATGTTATACCTCTAATACTGTATGAATCATTTTTTGCAAATAGCAAACTGATGGGTTGTAAGGAAGCTCATGTCTGAACTGAGCCAAAGGGAACTCAAATACGATACTGAGTGCTTGACTTCTTTCCCTATTTTGTCCTCACATAGTTACACTATTACTAGTTAGTTCTCCTATAGTACTTCACATGCTTTATTTATTAGGACTGCTAAGATTTTACTTCTGCTATATATGTATTTTTTTTAATGACCTGGGTACACAGAAACATTCGTACATGTTCTGGCATATATGCCAGTACTACAAACAACAATGTAAAAGAATTAACCTAGTAAGAAAATAAGTGTTTTGTCTTGTATTATAATTGCAAGTGAATGGTTTTGAAAGAAATACCCTACCTGTCCAGCTACTGCAGCAAAATAACCGTACAAAGGATCTTGAGCCTGTCCAGGGAATGCTGGTCCTCCTGGAGCTCCTCCATACTTATTAAAAACAACAAAAAACAAAGTAAAACTAATGCTTCAATTAGCCTTTACAGTAATTACAGAAAGACTTATAATGCTTATGCTTCAGAATCCACCAAGTGTCACTTTTCTATAGACAATTTGTCAAAATGTGCAATTGCTTTAGAAGACAGCATGTCACTTTAGCTTGTGTACTTGCTATACTATGTGGAGTCCTACATGATACTTGCACTTGGGACTGTCTCATGTCCCTACATTTAGATGATCCAATTTTGCTATGTAATTTGATCAATCACCAGCAAGCACAGGGGTTTTGAGGGAGAATATCTTCATGGCTCTCCACGGATTTTCTTTCCTTCCCAAAAAGAAAAATAAATCCAAATGAACAATTTGTGCAAGAAGGAAAATAACTGCATTTAACTTGGGAACAGCACTTGAGCATGCTACTGAATAAGATAATCAATTCATGTTGGAATGACAGAAGGTAAATACTGCAATAAAAAAATACAGAGACACTGTAATCTATTGTGTTAAAGTGGTGCAAGTTTATATAGCCTACTATATTGTTCTGATTACAGAAGTCAACCCCAAGTTTTCAAGTTTAATTTTCAGAAAAATGGCTTGGCACCTGTGCAAGCAATAGGATAACAGGAAGCTACTTCAAACAATCTCTCCCAGGTCTATTCAACATATTGCTCCATCAAAAGTAGTTAAAGTCAAATGCTGAAGAACTCAGAAGTATATTATCATATTACTAGCCCATAAGTCTTCCCGATTGCCAAATATCTTGAGCGCTTCTACCACTGCAAAACTATTAGGGTTTACTTTCCATGTCATATTATGAGAGGAGAGAGGTATCAGAAAGATTGCATGTTGTTTGGCTGAAATGGTACCAAAGGTTTTTGGTTATTAATCATTTGAGTTTGTAATGGAGTTTAGCTACTGCTGTGAAATGTCATATCCCTTTTTCTAGACACTCTATGAAAACACACCAAGATAATCAACCTGGTCTCACCCAAAGACCACTTAAAATGTAAACAGGTAAGAAACAAACAGTGGGAGAAGGAACTATAGTACTGACAACTTACAGCAAGTTTGTTAACATAACAACTTTGTTTGCTAAATTAAGTGGGCCATAAAACAGTTTCTCTCCTTACTTACGTTGTTAACAACAGCCAAAATTTTGTGAACATGGCGTAAGTGGTGCCTTTATCATTTACTTCTACAGGACTAACAGTGCTGGTGCTATTCGTTCAATATAAACTGCTGCCTGTATAAGCTGTGGGTGTCTGGAGTCATGGGTCTGTGGTAATGTGCTCCTTTTACTGATAGGAAAGTGAAACACAATGGTGTAAACTGACTTCCTGAGATCATTCTGAGAAAAGTAGATGGTGGAAGGCCAGGAATTTTGCAGTGGCAGCAGCAGCACCGCTGTCCCACAGTGTGCCTAGTGCCACTCAGTGCCTCACAGCCGCAGCACTGCACCCAGTGCCCTCGCCACATGCTCCTTCACTGCCAACACACGCTGGCCCTGCAGTAGGCCTCAGGTCCCCCCAAATAATATTGTCTCCTGCCGCTACTGCCAGGAAATGAACCAGGATGTCTCAGTGGTGTCAGGTGACAGAACAAAGAGCAATGGTCTCAAGCTGCAGTAAGGGAGGTTTACGTTGGATATTGGGAAAAACTTCCTCACTAGGAAGAGGGTGGTAAAGCACTGGAACAGGTTGCATGGAGAAGGTGGTGGAATCTCCCTCCCTGGAGGTTTTTAAGGCCTGGCTTGACAAAGCCTTGGCTGGGATGGTCTAGCTGGGGATGGTCCTACTTTGAGCAGGGGGTTAACCTAGATGACCTCCTGAGGTCCCTTCCAACCCTGATTTTCTATGATTCAGTGTTAGGATGAGTACAACGGATCAAATAACCAGCTTGTTAAGCTGCCTAACTGTAGCTGTGGGCCGCACCAGCACAGTGGAGAAAGGTGGCCAGTCTTCCCCTTTCTACACTTAGGCTACTCCGCTCCTGGCTGAGGCAACTACCTTCTCGTAAGAGCAAGCACCAAGAAGCCTCGGTGCTGGAGGTGGAGGCAGGGGGTCAGCTTCCTTCCTGCCTGCCTAACACAACACCCAGGAGCGCCCAGGCCTGCTGGCTGCAGGGAACAAAACCACGAGCCGTGGGTCTGTGCAACAGAACCATCCTGTCCCCCGCTCTGCACCTCTGGCCTTCCCTTTGTCCCGCGAAGGTCGCCCAGATCCCTCTACACACGGGGGTGACCCCTGCTCTGGGACCACGAGGCCCGCGGTCCCCACAGGTGTCACAGCCCTCAGCCTGTCCCTGCCATGACCGCCGGGGCGTCCCCCACCCCCCGGCTAGGTGCGGGTCTCTGGGACAGGCCAGGATGGACACCCCCCCGCCCCCCCCGGGGGGGCGCAGGGCAGCTCACAGGGCACATGCGCTGTGGGGACAGTGTGACACCCACGGGCGACCCGACCCCGCGGGGCTGCAGGGAAGACCCCGCGCGCCCCCTCTTGCTCCACCGTCAGGCTCACCCCGCCCTGGTAGTAGCCGGGCTGCCCGGGATACGCCATGTCCGCCCCGTCCCTGCCGGCTCTGCTGCCCCAGCGCGGGCGAGCCCGGACCGCACCACCTCGCACCGCGACGGGGTGGGCGGTGGGAATGGGACGGCCCTGAGAAGGGCGCCTGCCGCGCAGCCTGCTTTTCGCCGAAGAATCCTTCCCGAGTCACAGGCTGGGGGAAGGGGTGATGCGGACCGCGCTGGAGCCGCCTGCCCGCAGGACAGGGCACCCCCGCAGCACAATGGTTCCGCCCGTGTGCTGGGTTTTGTTTGGGTTTTTTTTTTTTTTTTTTTTTTTTTTTTTGGACAAAAACTTTATGGAGGCGCGAGCGACGAGAACGAGCACGGCCTGGCGGCGGCCCCGGATTGGCTGAGGCTCGGCGGGACCTGCCGGAGCCTCCAGCTCATCCACCACCCCTTCCTTGTTCCGAGGACAGGGGATCTCCGCTTGCTGTCGGGGGTTGGCTGGATCCCGGATTCCGGCCTCCGCGCTGCTGAGAGACCTCGAACTGGGGAGGTTTGGGTGGCGCTGCACCACGTCGTACCGCATATAACATGCCCCGGGCACGGGCGGATCCAAAATGTTAGCGAGGGGCGTCCACATGCCGTGGTGCAGCATCGCACACGAAGCGGGAGATTTTCCTCCAGTTAAGAATAGACTAGAACCTTTGCTAATAGGCTAGGGGCCCCCGGGCTGCATTTAAAGCTGCGTTTTCAGTTTAAAATTGAAGCCAAAACCAATATAAATTAACTGGTATGAGTTAAACACAAGCTGCAGGGCTGCGAAATAGGAGCGGCATCACCAGGAGCTGGGAACAGGCAGCAGAATGGGGCAACAGAGGATACTGACTGATGGCTTTTAAAGCCCATTAAAAAGGAAGAGGGGAAGAATTTAGAAGGGATCAGGCAGATTATAAACAGCCATGAAGTCAAGTGACCTTTCTGGCTAGACTAGAAATGCTGCCTGACTAGAAATGCTGCTGCCATCACCAAGCAGTTGGTGTTAAACTTCAGGTGGAGCAGGGATCAAAGGGAGTCACCCCTGGATCCACTCCTGGCCCCAGAATGGACAGTCAGGGGAGGTGCTTTTATTTGTTTGGTTTCCACGCCTTTAGGTTTTGCATCCTCAAGTTTTTCTTAAAAAACTAAGGCCAAAAAGTTGCTGGAAAAAAAGCAGGGGGTGATTCTGGTGTACTTACCAGAGCTAGAAATGGCCAGTAATGAAAGAAGGAAACGGGAATTCCTAATTGTCTGGCCCATAACCTGTGGTGTGTCCTTAATGCATTAATAATGTATAATGTTATTTAGAATGCTCAATATACAGCTGGAAAATAATGGATGTGCCAATGGAAATAACCCCCTTTATTCATATTTAACACCCATCAAAGCAATTTTATCCCATGTTAGCCAAAGTGTTTGTGCACCTTAAATCCATCTGACTAGATCAAATCACTACAGTATCCAGGGCAGTCTCACAGCTGTGTGCTCGGTAAAATATTGCTTGGTGTTAGATATCTAGATTCTAATAGTACATAGCTAAAATGGAGAGAGAGGCCCGGAAATAAGCAGCACACAGCTTTAAAAGGAAGGTTGTACAACTTGATGGGTGGAGACTGCAATCTAATGAGGTTCTTATTTTTAAGACAGCAACCTACTTTAAGCCACAAAAGCCAGATTGTGATCTTGGCCATTCATTTGCCTGAACTCTTTACTTTCCTCATCTGGACTAAGTTTAAAGGACTAGAGGTAATAATATTGTTATAGCCACTGAAACAGAAGCTTGAGGCAATGGTTCTTAACATTGCAAACTAATGTGAATGGTACTGAGACTCAGAGCCCCTTTTGCAGTTCAAGAGGAGCAACTAAACAAAAACATGGTGCAGAAAGACTTTAAGCATTTAATTTTATCAAAGGGTGGGATATCATTCTAAACTACCCTTCAGTGCAATGTCAGATTTTTAATGAAGGTAGTCCATCCTGCAAATCATGGGGCTAGTATACAGGGTGGATGAAAAAGGAAAATAAAGAAACAGGCCATGCATGAGTAGAAAGGAAAACTGGAGGAATTAGTGTACAAACCAAAAGAAAAAAATTGAAAACAGTTTTTAAAAAACAAGTGTATTGATTCCAACATAAAGTGCAACAACAGGCCTTTCTAAAGTGGCTGTAAGGAAAAGTGAAAGCTAGCTACATATTTCCTGTCAGCTCAGTTGGCCAGTTCTTCATTCTTGTAACAAACATGGGTGTTTTTCAAAACTGAAGCAGTTGGTTTATGTATTTGTTTCAGAAGTGCTAAGCATCCAAAACACTGGCTGAAATCAAGGAGGGCTGCAGATAATTAAAATGGCCAAGAACACTCAAATTAGACACCCAAAGCCAGTGGCCACTTTGGGCTTTGTTGTGCTAAGTTTTATACCACTGAAGTCTGAGTGATAGCACATGTTGCATTTACATACAAGGTGTGAATAGCACAAATTCAGGATGCAAAGACTATCAGCAGGAACTTACTATTCGAGTTGGCTGGAAAACAAAAATTATTTTGTTCTTTCCCAAGTGGAATATAAACAACATTTTTTTTTCAAGAGGGAGCTTCTTCCATTCCCCACCCCATAGCCAATGGCTAAGTGCAGAGGATATTGCTAGGATGTGGCAAATTCGGGGTCAAGTCTCTCCTCAGTCTGATTTAGACCTGGCACTTGAACATGGGTCTCCCACATTCCAGGGAAGTGCCCCAACCACTGGGCTGTTCGTCAGTGTTCTCTTTCATAACAAATGTGTTTTTCCATTTCAACAAGTTGGCATTTTCTAACAAAATTGCTTTTGTCAGAAAATACCCAGTGGGTCTTACTTGCAATTTAGTTAGGCCATTTCTTATTTTCTAATAATTGGGGGTGGGATTGGGGGGGGAGTGATTATCATCATGGTGAAAACAACAATTAGTCTGATAGTTATTCACAGATGCTAGGGTCAGAAGGGACCTCAACAGATCGAGTCCAACCCCCTGTGTAGGCAGGAAAGAGTGCTGGTGTCAGATGTCTATCCAGCCTTCTCTTAAAGACCCCCAAGGTAGGGGAGAGCACCACCTCCGTTAGAAGTCCATTCCAAATTTTGACCACCCTTACTGTGATGAAGTTTTCCCTGATATCTAGTTTAAATCGGTTCTCTGTCAGTTTGTGACCTTTGTTCCTTGTTACTTCAAGAGGCACCCTGGTGAACAGAGCATCTCCAATCCCTTGCTGCATCCCCCTAATGAATTTGTAGGCAGCCACAAGATCACCTCTCAGCCTTCTCTTGCGGAGGCTGAAGAGGTCCAGGTCCCTCAGTCTCTCCTCATATGGCTTGTCCTGTAAGCCTCTAACCATACGAGTGGCCCTCCACTGGACCCTCTTGAGTCTATCAACATCCTTTTTGAAGCGCTGCGGCCAAAACTGGATGCAGTACTTCAAATACGGTCTGACCAATACCGTATAGAGGGGAAGTATCACTTTCTTGGTTCTATTTGTCGTGCATCTGCTGATGCATGATAAAGTGTGGTTAGCTTTGCTGATGATTATATCACACTGACGAAATTAGTTGCGAGTCTATTAGTTGTGAGTCTCTGAAGTTAACATTCCCATTTTGTGCTTTACTAAAAATGTAGACATATTATAATAGACTTTTGTTTACAACTGTGTGTTGTATGAGCAGATTTGCATTGAAAAGCTGCTACATGAAAATCAGCAGCTTGAGGATAATTGGCTGTAATTCAGTTGACCTTGATGCAACAAATTGGAAAGTGAAATTGTTCTGCTATGAAAGAAATACTGTAATTATATATACTGTGCTGGAAAGGTGATCCAGCATATTAAATCAATATTATTTTTAAGTGAATCTTATATATTATACATTAACAAGGGAGATCTACCAGTTTCCATTAAGTCCTTTAGGGACTTCACCACTGTTATAGAATTTATATGCAAGTCATTCATATATTATCATGGATGACAGTATTAAATCCTGAGACAGACTGAGAGTTAAGGAATAATTTTTAACTTTTCATGAAGTGCCCAAGTAATAATGATAGGGTTGTTTTGCATTATTCTCCAAAGACTTTTTTTATAACTATTACATGCTCTTTTTGCTTAATTTTAATTATTTGGCTACAATTGCAAGGGTTTGATTGAACTAGTGACATGTACACAGGATAATAATTGTGTGTAGCTCAGTTTTCTGATGGTTAAAAACAATACAGATGTCAAGTATTTTTTAGGTTTTACCCACAACCATGCTTAGCTCAGCAATCTGACTTGGAATCCAGTAGGAGTGATTCAGGTGGAAAAAGCATAAGAAAAAGGGAGGTATAAAAACACCACCCCAAAAAGAGCCTTCAGAGGTATGGGATAAGCTAGGCCCACCCAGAACTTTAGGTAAGACAAATGTACAAGTAGGTATTTTAATATATTTAAAAATCTTCTCTCTTGTTAAGATTAGAGAGTACTTTGCAATGAAAAGGTTGTTTTGAGTCGGTATACCAACACACTAGGCACAGCTCCCAAAGGGAATAGGTCATAGTTGGTACACATGGAGCTGTAGGGCTGGACTTGGGTTTAATGTGGGAGAATTGTGATATTTCTTCTCATGACAGCCAAAGACATAATATCTAAACCAGAAGGCAGGGCTGTGTGAAACTTCGGCAGCCGTTTCATTTTGGAGGTGTTTCAGCCTGTTTTGGCACCCCAAACACCAAATCCGAAATGAAACAGGAGGCTCTGAAATAGCTCTGAAACAAAACCAACCAAAACATTTTGGAAAATTTCAGAGTTTCAGAGCTGGGCTTGCAGGGAAACAGGAACTAAGAAGAGGGAATGGGAGGAGGGGGAAAGGACTGCTCTGATATTGACATCTGTAGCTGTCCAGTGTCTGCGATCTGTCCCTGAGGTCCCTTCCAGTCCCAGTGCTCTGGGGGAGGGATGGCAGCCTGCTATCATCCTGCATGCAGATCCAGGGGCCCGTGCCCCCTAGGAGGAGTCTGGCACAGCCCCGCAGCCCTCCCAGGGGACGCATGCCCCCAGACCTGCCCGCGGGATGACAGCACGCTGCCGCTGCCGGCTGGGGTCAGTGGCAGTACCAGTCTTCCTGGCACTTGGTATAGGCTGTGCCAAGCACCAGTCCCAGCCAGCAGTGACA